AGATAAGTGTGGGGGGGGTGGGGGGGGACTTGATATTGTTATTGCTAATATCAATCTACTGAGCCTCAGAATCTAAAGGTTTACAAGTATGCATGAGTGCCTGTGTGTGTATACGTGTGTATGTGTCTATGCATATAATACTGTGAATACATGCCAATATAAGTGTGTATATGTTTCTATACTTGTATATGTGAACATATGTGTGCGTCTATGTGTGTATATATGTTTGTGTGTAATGGTATGTGTGTACATGTGTATATACAGATATGAGTGTATGTTTGCATACTGTGTGTATATATATGTATGTATAGATGTGTAGATATATGTATGTGTGTGTGAGTGTACATGTGATTATATATATGTATACATGAATGTGTGTATCTATGTATATGTACAAGTGTATATGTATCTATATAATGTGTTCAGGGTTGTATATGAGTGTATATGTGACCATATATATGTGTATATGGGTATATACTTGTGAATGTATATTATGTGTGTGTCTATTTTTTTACCGCCATTTCCCAGTGCATGAAATAAAGCCTGACAAACAATAGGTACTCAAAAAATACTAGCACTAGTTAGGAGGAGGACCAAACAGGTAAGATCTTTTATACCACAAAGAAAATAAAGCCTGGAAGCATACAGTGGAGTAAAGGAACAGAGACCCTGGGGCTGGATGGTCAGAACAGATGTCTCTGAGAAGGTAAACGGACCATGTGACAGGAAAAGGGTGCAACACAGAGGTCAAGTAGCAATGAGGACCCAGCTCATCTGGGGACAGGTCAATGTGGCTGGTACATGAGGCAGAGAGACACAGAACAGCAGGGACAGGTAAAGTAGATGGACAAACTGAGTCAAAACCGAAGGGATGAATTCCACAAGCTGCCACCTAAGTATGGCCCACAGACACTGGGGTGCAGAGCCAGAAAATGTGTCAAAGGTATACATTCAAAAGTCTGTTTAGAAAGGAAGGGACAGCGACTAGGCATGGAGCACACATCCATTTTTCTCCAGTGAAGGGGCTCAAAAACCGTTAACCCCATGACGTCAAAGCCCAAGAAGTCATACCTTACCTATCCTGATAGTTGCACTACCTTCCTTATATGCCATAGGGGCTCAGTGAATGTTGACTACTAAATTGTTAAAGGACAGTCAACAACCAAAACATAGAGACATAGAAACAGATGAGGTGTGCCTTACAATCTAAAACACGACTTTGTGGAGGATGAGCAGAACACGTGAGAGACAACAGTGATAAGGCCCAGCTCCTGCTAAGCTTGAATCCCCAGAGGAGCAGCAATCTCTAGACATACATTCAATGGCACTTACCAGCAGACAGCTTCTACTAAGCCTACCACTGAGTGGCACTAAAAGGGGGCATCATTCATTAACACTGCATCTTCAACACTCAAGGAAGAGTCACTGTCCAGTACATGCTCGCTAAGAGCCATCCTAAAAGTAGATGGATTATTTGCAAACAAACTCAGAGTCCTATGAACTAAATAGCAGGAACTCACATGTTCTTGAAGAGTAGCCAAGGCTACCCAACCCAGAAAAGCCTGCTCCAATCAGAAAGACTCAGCTTCTGGCTTGACCATAAAGACACATCGACAACACATGAACTTGGTATGTCTACAAGGCCACCATGCTGCCAGTGGGGCACGTCCTCACATATCAGCGCCAAGCTTTCTAGTCCATCACTTCTTCCTCTCCATCCCCAGCTCTAAGGTGGAAAGCAGCTTGTATGTGGCTAGTGGGCAGCAAAGGGAGACAACATGTTCTGAATTCTTTCCTACTCTGACCCAGGCTTTGTGAACTCACACCCAGCTGTAGCAGCCCCTATGGCTGCCCTCACTTGCTGGCAAACAAGATCTCATGAGCACCGTGTTTATGATGCTTAACATGTCCCCAGAATGCCACAAGCTGTGGCCTTAGAGACTTCATTAATTATGCAAATGTGTCTTGGCATGTCAGGTGATAGCATCTTGTCTATAATGAATACTTAAAACTGACGAGAAAAACAAGGATTTTAAAAAATTAGAATGCTGGAGTTCTTCCTGCGCCCTGGTATAACTCATTAATTCAAAGTGGCTCCAGAGTAATTCTGACACAGTCATCTATGGAGTCTAGAACTCTTACCACTGTGCTTCCTCCATGGAACCAGGAAGTCCCACAGCCCCTTACCAGCCTTGGGATAATGTGTCCAGGAGCCAAGCCTGCTCTACAGATGGCATTCCCACCTTTGCAAGAGTCCTAAGTTCGTGCTGCCCCATCAGCAAAGCTCTGGCCCACATCTAGATCACACCTGGCCTGCTAACCCTGTGCAGGACATGCCTGTGCCCAGAAACTCCTTTTCACCAGCCCCCATCTATCCATACTTCAGTCAGTTCATGTTTTAGTCCTGGCTATCATTCCTGCACACTAACACAATGCCACCACTTAGTCCATAGTCTACAAAAGGGAAGCCTTCATCTCCAAGTTGAATAGGCGGATGCTAACAAAGACCAGGAAATGGAGGTGGCCTTGCCATTCCCCAGAGGCTCTGTAGTGTAGCACTAAGGCATGGATTAGACCCAGAGCTCCTTTAGGGGCCACTAACTTAAAAGTCTCTACCCAGAGTTCCTCATGTATAACATGAGAATTCAAGCCAGGAACACTGACTCTGAGGGCTTCTGCTAAGGTCTGATCCAAACAACACAGTGAAGCTCCTATATCAACCTCAAGATTATGAGCTCACAGTCAGTAACCATGCCTATTATCCTGTGGTTTCAGCCATCAGGGACACTGTGCACACTGAATAGAACCTGGCCTTCTGCCTTCTGGCCCAAACATGGCCTAGTGCTCCAGCAAACACAATGGTGAAACACCACATCTCTAGCTGGTCCCCACTCACCTGCTTCTCACATTTACAGGAACCTCTGAAGGCTTTTTAACCCAACCTGTGACCTTCTCACACTGTTCAGATGGGACTGGGAGAAGTGGCTGCCATGTTCTCCCTCTATCCCACAATGATCCATCACAATGGGCCCCTGGCTGCTTTAGAGCCTTTGTTTAACCACTTCCTGCCCTTGCACACCCTAAGTATGACCCCTTGTAGCCTAATGTTCTCCAGATCTGTAGAATTTAAACACTCGCCCTCCTAATTCCTCCAAATGACAGCAGCCCAGGTTTCTCAGTGGCCCCACCCACAGAACTATATATCTCCCAACAATAAGTCTTAGCAAATGTTCAGCCTCCCAGTCACTGTTCTACAGCCTCATCCTGTTGTCACACACACCTGACCACAGCGAGGATCTGAGCCCCCAGAAACTGTCAGATGGAGACAGATGAGCACTTCAACACAGCAACAGGGACCTCTCAGGAGCCAACACTGTGCTGAAGACAGGCTAAAGGGTGGCATTTCTGTCCTAAGCTAGGTTCAGACAGATGCATGCTTAGGAATCTGCAGGAGGCCATAGAGTCTAGAACTAATTGTTCTCCTGTGTGGCCCCCACATGGTCATCTGAGGCACACTATCACACAGCTCCCCCTTCTCAAATCCAACTCACTGTTACACATTTCAGGCAACGGAGGACAGGAAGTAATTGCACAGTCTTTCTGTGATAACTCAGTGTTTAGCATGGGGCTACATCTTTAACAGGCTCTTAATTTAACCAATATGATGGGACCAGTCCCAGTAATCAGTGAACAATTCTTTCAGAAGGGGGAAAGGAAGATGTGAAAACAGGTTCACTCCTCGAGGCTTGGTATCAAGGTCAACATTGCACCAATGTCTAAGAGAGCTCCATCTAAGCTCCAGCAGTCAAGGGCCACCAGCAACAACAAAAAGGGTTCAAGTTCTCCATTCTAAGAGTACTAAGAGGCAATTTTCCAAATGATCTGCTGTGTTTCAGTCACTTTCCTGATAGACTGGGATGAGGTGAGTCAAAGAACAAGAGGGTTGGAAAGATGGCTCACAGTTGAGAGCTTCTACCAAGGACCTGAGCTCAGTCCATAGAGCCCACATAGGGCAGCTCACAACGGTGTACACCTCCAGTTCCAGAGTATCTGAAGTCTTCTTCTGTCTCCACTGGCACTGCACTCAGATCCACAAACCCACACCAGACACACATAGAAATAGAGTAAAAATGAAATCTTTAAAAAGCAAGGAAGAGAGGCATGAGAAAGAGGAGCAAGGAGCAGGTGCACAGTCTGTCCATTCCAGAGGAAAGTAGAAAAGGAACCCTCCTGAGATCCGTTCAGTGGTGTTCTTCAGGGGCCAGTTCAGGTGAAGGAAATAGGCAAGGAGCCATGACATCACTGTAAATGACATCCATGTCCTAAAGTCATCCAGAGCAGGTACCCTGCTAAGCTTTTCCCTTGAAAACAAAGACTGATAAAGTGGCCCATTACTCACAGTCCTGCGAGGACCTATGTCGGAAGGTAAATCGAAGGTGACTCCGGTTCACATCCTCAATGGGGATGGCCACCTTGAAGAATCAAAAGGGGACATGTGAGTACCTTTCCCAATATCCTCTAGCAGGAAGTGCTTAATTCGCCTGGTTACTGGCACCAATAAACATCCCGGCACCAGAGCAATGAAAACACTGTCTATCTTATCCTTATTTGATTTCCGCCAAAGGCAAAATGTCTTTTGAAAATTTAAACAAGATAATATTGTGAAGGACACCAAGCCAACTCTGCTAGACAGCCAGATATTTTTTGTTTTAACACTCAGATGCACACTGTTCAGATTCTCTTTTTGAAAGTCACATCTTCATTGCAGCCCCCACATAAAGGTGTCTACTTCCCCTCCACAACTGCAGCAGGAAAGCTTTTTTAGTACATTATGGCCAAAGAACAAGGCCTCATGTGTGCTGCATGTAAGCAGAGACTGCCTGAATGATCATGTCAACATCCAGAGCCCATTCCTCATCTTCTGTAATTCAGGTTCTTGGGATGGGAGGATAGACTACAGTGGGGTACCATGGTGCTGTGAGCAGGCTACATGATGAAAGGACTCTGTCAACGCCAAAAGAAACAGATCCACCTCTCAACAAAAACACACACACACGCTGGCATCCCCATTTCTGCCCATTTGCTACAAAGGCAGCAGGCCACATATACTCCAGACTCAAGGAGAGAGAGACAATAGCTATGTGGAAGATGTGACAATTCATCTCCATCAAAGTCCTATTTTTACATTTGAAGGAAATAAGGATAAATCTATTATTAAAGGAACTACCAGGGAAGGTCTTTAACAACCTTGAACAACTTGGCTTTGTGCAGTGAGTAAGGACTTCATAATCAGCCCCCCACAGGGTGAGAGGGGATGAAATGACCATAGTAACACAATACCTTAAGAGTCTCAAACCAGCGAGGCTGCTTCACTTGGTAATAAATCACTGATTTGTACTCCGAGATCGCCTCATCACCAGCACCAGGGAAAATCACATGCTTTAGGAGAAGGCACACAGAAAGAGTTCATGTTAGGGTTATGGCAGCTGAGGTGGCTTGGTAGGTAAAGGCAGTTGCTGCCAAGCCTGACAACCTGAGTTCAATCCCTGGGACCTACAAGGTGGAGAGAACTGACTCCTGCATGCATGAGCATACACACACACACACACACACACACACACACACATTTGGTTTTTAAAGTGTTGACATTAGATATCACAGCATCTACCCTATATATTCCTGTTGTAATCACCAAAGGAGTAGAAGAAGCAATCCAGGGTGCCATTAAACCACTGCATTTGGCATGCATTCCCAGAAATGAAGGGGCAGGTCTGCCTCTGCTAGTGGCTAGTCTAAACCACAGTCTCAGACCCTGGAAGTACAGACAATTATGACACATGGGACTAACCCTGACCACCACTTCTTCTGACCTCTCCCCAATTACAATCTGAGAATACAAGCCTAATTTACTCAGTGGGTCTAGAAGCAACAGTTATCCACCAAACAGGAAATGGCAAGACTCATCCCTCTAGACATGAACATTGCTTGCCAAACATAAACCAGATCCATACCACTAAAGCTTAAGAGGCTAAGGCATACAGCTCAAGGTTTCTAGAGATATGAATGACACCAGACAAAGAGAAAAGGTGTGAGCCCTGCTGGACACAGCTGAACCCAGGCACAAGCCCAGCCATGGCTGTCCAGGCCAGTGGTACCTAGAAGGATACCTGGTCTGCTCATCAAAGGGAAGCACAGGCTCTGAGCCATTCTGGCAGATTCTGCTGGCTGCTCTGGCTATGGGAGGAGGTCCTGGTAACCGGTTGAGTCACAGCTTGTTTAGATGATCCTAAAAGCCTACTTCACTCTCTGACCCTGAGCAAATAGCATTATTTCTCAGATTCCATTTCCTTATCTCTTAAATATTGAAAGCAATAGTCTCTGACCTACCACTGTGTTTGCTAGGCATGTGGGATTATGCCAAGAAATAAGAACCCTTTCTAAGACTGGGCAAAGAGAGTGGACAAAATCCACAGGATGCCCTGAGACAGGCTGGTAGCCAGGACCCCCAAGATACAATGGCAAGCAGGAAAGAAGGAGGCTATCGCCAACATACATTACAACAGATGAGATAACACAGCCAATCAAGAACACCTCAGATCCTGCAGCAGAGCCAAGACAGACATGTGCAAAGCTGAACTTGAACTGTATGGACGAGACAGAGCAAAAAAGAGATACCTCCAATCGCTTCCCATCTTCATCATAGACAGACACCGTCACCTCCACATTCTTCGCAGTCGTTTTACTGCCTTTATCAAAGTCCCCTTGAACTAACGTCACATAGATATCATTTCGAACATCACCTGGGGGGAAAAATTATATCCTTAATAGCAATCCATCACTCATAGTGTAACTGTGAAGTTAGCCAAATTGTCAGAAGCGCTTCCTCAATGGAATATTCTAAATACTGTATTAGATAGTTCTGAAATATTTCTTACAAAACAGCCTGGGCTTCTAAGGCATGGTAAAACCAATTCACATCAACTTCACTTCTGCATCTCTTCGAAATGCCCAGAGTGGCTGCAATGCCACTAATGGAGCTACAAGAACCCAGTCCCTTTGTAGCCTCTTACGAGCAATACAGACCTTATGATCCTCCCATGGGATATCACTAACGGAAATCACTTGTCCTCAGCAGCCAGCTCAAACATGCAAAAGAGAACTGGCAAGACCAGCTTCCTTTGAACTGTTTGATATCAAGCCTTGAACTAAAATTCTACTGAGAACGAGAACCATGAGCCAGGTACAAGGGACAGGTCACAGAGAAGTTTCTGTGTGATTCACTTCTAGCAGCTGTCAGGACCCCAAGTGGGAAGAATAAAATAGAATTATATAGATTTTGGGGAAGGGATTGGTTTTAGGTTTTTGTTTTATGATCTCTCTTATAGGCCAGGAAGTACTCTAATTTATAGCAGTCCTCCCACCTAAGCCAAGTGCTGGGATTACAATGCTGGCCACCACATACAACCCCATACATTTTAGGATAAAAATGGCCCCTTAATTGTGATGAGAGCAGACTAGAACAAATGAGCTGAGACTTCTTTCTGTTGCAAGCATGTGAACTCGGAAAACTGCAAGCTTCCTTAGCACCATGATGGAGAGGAGGCATCATTGCTAATGACTAGTTCCCAGGCTGCCTGCCCCACCCATTCCCAACCCTACTTTGCACAGTCAACCAGAGCCTGTGAAGGACCCCTGTGGTGGGTAAGGATGAAGACTTCTTCAGGGAAAAAAGCCTTTCCTTGCTTTTTTGTTGGTGGTGAGTTTGTGTGTGTGTGTGTGTGTGTGTGTGTGCGCCCCCGCGGGCTTTTTTTTCCTAAAAGAAAAAAATTGCTCTATTTTGGCTTTTAATGTATCCAACTATTAAATTAAAGTTGCATTTAAAAGTCATTATTGTAATGGTCCCAGTGGGTCGCTCCCACAGTCATGGAGGCTGCTCAGGAGGGAAGCAGAGCTGCCATGGCAGATACTGCCCACAAGAGAGGTTAAAAAGATTGAAGTATGAGGTTGGGAGTGGGGTTGGGGGACCGGAAGCTAAACTTCCCACCCAAGAACTACCACTATCAGCTGTGGGACCTCAGTTAACCCCTTCATCTCCTGGGCTAACTCACCACTTAACAGCCTTATTGATTTGCCACACATCAACTGTACATTTCTTAGCCTGAAAATTCTATCAAAATATAAAAACCATAATCTTTACGTGTATGCTGCATGTATACAGTTGTATGTGCAGTTGTACATACATACAAGTGGAGGCCAGAGGACAACCTCAACTGTTGTTCCCAAGGTACTATTTACCTGTGTTTTAGGACAGATTCTCTCACTGGCCTAGAACTCACCAATTCAACTAGGCTGGCTGGCCAATAAGCCCCAGGGATCTGCCTCTCTCCAATCCACTGGGATGCAAGCACATACCACCATGCCCAGCACTTTTTAGGTGAGTTCTGGGAATCTAAAACTCAGGTCCTTGCAAGCAGTTTACTGATTCAGCTATCTTCCTAGCACCTAAAACCATAATCTTTTATCTGAGAACTATAGAAGCTTCCTAAAAACCTCGGCAGGTAAAGTAGTAACATGAGCTACAAGGCCTCAAAGGGATAAAGCCCACAGCCTCACGCCTACGTTCATCATTCCTGCAGAGGTCTGCTTCTGAGCCATCACAGAAAAAAGGACATTATTTGCAGTGGAGAAACCCCACTGAAGGGCACCACGCAGACCTTCAGCAAAGGCTGGGCTCACTAGAAGAGGAAGTTAGTTGTTTGAAGATTTGATTTGGATGCTACCATCTTCCCAGTTCCATGAATATCTCGGCTTCTTCCCCTGCCTGTGTCCTTCAAAACAGATCCAGGCCATCAGGGGTCATGAGCATGTCTAAGGATCAGCAGTAGTGTGCCAGCACAGGCTCTCCTACTGTACAATGACGCATGCCTTCACGGAGCAGATGAAAAGGGATAAGCAGAGATTCCACTGGAGTAAATATGGGAGTCTGACTGAAGACCACCAGCACCATGGACTTGGTGCCTCGCCTGGCCAGTGCTTACTCAGCCAACAGAGAACAAGGGTGATTCACTCCAGCTAGACTCCCTCTCTAGCAGCCACTCAGCCTGTAGAGTCTTGTTCTTCACCAGAACAATGGTCAGCAGCATGGGTTCACCAAAAGCCAATCATGGGCTTAAATGAAGGGCTGGATTTAGCTTTGCAAGCTTTTGTAAGCTTATGTTCTACAAGGAAAACTCTACCAGCATGAGCAGGAAATCCCCAGTTTTCCCATATGGGATAGTTAGATTTTAGGGTCATCATGACAGGCTCTAGAGTCACCTGGAAGACGGGCTCTGGCCATGCCTGTGGGAGGTGATCTTGATTACATAAGCTGATGTGGAAGTATCTATATTAACTGTGGATGGACCCATCTTCTAGGCAGGGTTAGCTGAACTTGCTTGCATTCATTGCTCTCGTGCGATTGCAGATGAATGTGACTAGCTGCTTCATCCTCCTGCTCTCCCGACTTTCCCACCATGATGAACTAGATTGTGAATGATGAGCTAAAAGAAACTCTTTTGCCCTTAAATTGCTTTTGTCAGAGTATTTTATTACAACAATGGAAGGTGGGAAGTGGGGAGGAGGACGGGGACAGAGACACCTGTAAATGTGAGGCTATCCTAAGAGACCAAACAAATGCACTCCTGAAGGTGCATCTCAGTTCCAATTGTAAAGAGTAAGTCCACAAATCAGCTCATTTCCATGAATAAGACTGACATACCATACCTATACAGGGAACAAGAATGTTACCCAGGCTAGCCCACTTCAGCTATCTGTCATGTCAGCTGACAGAGTAGCCAATAATCATGACTAGTCCTGAAAGGTGAATAGAATAGCTAGCCCACTTCAGCTATCTGTCATGTCAGCTGACAGAGTAGCCAATAACCCACACTAGTCCTGAAAGGTGAATAGAATGGAAAGCATACATCCCATGGTTGCATGCAATAAGAACAGCAATGCCGGTGGCAGCCAGCACACTAGGCAACCAGACACATCTCAGCAAAATATGCAGCAAGAGGGATCTGTGACAAAAGGCTACCCGTGCCTGTTGATCTTGGAAATCACCATTTCCAATGCCCATTTGCCCATGTGACTTTGGGCTGTGGTTTAATTTTTGATTGGGATTAGTTCAACAACAATCTTAAAGTGCCTAAGATCGTTCTATGGCCCAACCCAGACTACTCAAACAAACGTGAGTTGCAAACCAAATTGTACATCAAGATAAACATGAACATTTGTCCCAAGGGCAGATATCAATAATTAATATCAGATTGTTGATATGGATTTTATTTAGAAACTGGAAAGTGTGTTTAAATACAAAAGATAAATGTTAAAAAAAAAATGACCCAAGTATCAGTTCATGTAGCTTAAAACACATGGCTGAGCCTGAGCCACATGAGTGTGGTAATGAACACACCTTGAGCCGTTCCCAAGGAAAGCATCATCCTTCTGACCTGTAGCATGGGTATATGACTGACCCTCCCGTCCTCTCTTCCTTCCTTCCTTCTTCCCTTCCTGCCTTTGATCAGATACCTAATTCCATGCTTGGAGGGTGTCCATGCCGCCACAAGTGACCTTTGCCATTAGAGAAAAGCTAATCCTATAGTGGTGGGCCCAGGGCCCAAAGTGTGTATCCCACCACTGTGTTTGGTTTCAGCCCTTGTGAACTAAAGTTATTCACAACAACCCTGGGCCTGACACAGTACAGGCCTCATGCTGAACTTGCTCTCACTATAAGAGCTCTTGCACATCACTGTGCTGTGCACACACCAGTCTTCACTGCGGGTGGCTTCTGCAGAGATCCCAAAGGTCTTAAGTGAGGCTAACTTTACCTGGCATAATAATCTCTGGAAACCCTGTCTTGCGGGCCACAGCTGTGGTCCTGTCCACCAAGTGAGGAAACTCCTTCCGAATCTGATGTATGTCTCAGGAAGTAATTTCAAGGTTACCCACAAACCTGAAGGAAAAAAAAAAAGGCACCTAAGTCACATTTACTACTAGTGGGTTGCTGAAAACAATTTCAATAGTTAAGAAACTGCTAATCCACAGAGCAGCAATACAAATGGGCAAATATTCATGCAAATGTCCAGGGAAGAGGCACCCAGCACAGGGACACACATTCAGTCTAGGTACAGTCTTGCCTGTGGGATCAAGGAGTGGGACCATGGGATGGAGGGGAGTGTTCCGTATGTATGCCAAGGACAAAAAGTTCTTTTGAACTATCTCAATTTACAAGAAATCAGAAGGTGGCATTTACAGCAGAGGCTGAGAAGGGCAGGCAGAGACTTAGAGATGCTTGCCCACCTAGAGGCTTGCATCTGGAGGCCAGTGGGGACCATGGTGCTCTGAGGAGGTCCACAGGGCTCAGGAGTGAGCCAGGAATCTGACCTGAAAATAACCTAACAGCTGGAGGTGGAAGTTAAAGGAAAAATAGTGAGTTAGTAGAGGCTACAGGAAGCTACTATCTGAGCCTAATAATGGGGAGGGGGTTGGAAAGACCAACACGAGAGTCAAAACTACAGAACCAGGAAGGAGGAAGGGGACAGAAGGTGGCTCTCAGAGGCAGTGCCTGCTGTGGGCATGACCCTTAGAAGGTGCTCTGCAACACCCCAAACTGAAAGCCTGCTCCGGAAGATAGTCTGAGGAGCACAACGTTGGGGGAGAAAGAGTGTCTCGAAGCATGTGTGGAAGCCTCTCTCTACTTGTAGGTCATGCTGAGGAAGGGCTGCGAAGAATGAGATGCTAGGAAAGGTGTCATCCATATGGTCAAAGTGTGAGATCCAAGAGGGAAGGTGAGTGTGGGTGGCACTGAGAAACAAGGATGTCCCCTTGGGCCTCCAGGTGGAAGGGAGGGCAGAAACTGCCAAGAAAAGGACAAAGCGCAAATCCCAGAGAGCAAAAACTAGATGGGGTAGAGCAACAGACATAGTCAATTGAGACCCAGGAATGGTCAGCATATCTTGTTTAAGGTGGCCCGTTTCTACAAGTTTCCTTTGCCTTTCTCTCTAAGATATAGAATTCCAGATCATGAGGCAGTCTCAACGAGAGAGGGATGCCCAGTACAGGAAAGTCCCCATGAATGACATCAGAGGGTGGCACCAAAGAAAGGGTACTTGTACTGTGTCTCAAGATATGCACTGCATGTGATCACCAAGAATTGAGAAGGGCCTAGATTGTGTACCCTAACCCATGCTCCCAGGAACTAGCTGCATCTCCACACACACCCAGTCAACAGGGTCCCTTTTTCTAATTCACACTAAAGTGCAAAGAGCCAACGGGCAGCTCTGGTCATGCAAGGGGCTGGATATTTCATCTTGTCCCCCTTTCCCCTTATTCTGCCATACAGTCAAGCAAACTAAACCTAAATGACATTAAATGACATCAGAAAGGCTGCCTTGCAAATACACTAACCAACAGCCTGAATATCTATGTGGATAAAGTAGAATATTGGTGACACAATTCAATTTGTTACAACTGAAATACAGAGATTAAATTGCCCTGATTACACAGCGTTCAAAATACCTTCCTCACAGGGGAAAATGAGGCCTGTTTTCAAAGAATAAGTGTGTTTGGAGTTGATATGTGTTCCACCCGACTGACAAAATGCAGAATGGTTACTCACCCCTTCTCAAACAAGGGAAGCAGGTGTGGGTATGAGGCTCTGCTGCCCATATATACACATGAGAATTCATAGGGAGAAAGCAGAATCATGTGGGGTTAAACAGAAGCAGATTAAAGGGCAATTACTGTGCATGCACAAGACCCTGGGTTCAATTAACAGCACTGTAGATGTTTGTGAGACTCTGCCTTTGTGATGAGGAAAATGGATGGTATAGGGATGGAGCAAGCTCAGAGGAGGCACATGGGAGGTGAGCATGGAAAAATCCACTGGCTCTTTTAAAGATTACCATCCCCTCCATGTCCTCCATTCTAGGTCTTCTGACTGACTGGGAAGATAAGCAGGCAACTCAAGGTACCTGGGTCATTGTTATGGAAACAGATGCCTATGGGAGGAGCCCAGAACACCCAGCAGCAATTGCCCTGGCCGAACCTCCCTCAAGTCTCCTAGGAATGACCTAGATTCTAAGTGTGAACACTGGAGGAAGGTTCAAAGTCAAGATGAAACTAACCTGGTGACATGGTCAGAGCAACAACAGTGCTGACTCAGTATTCTGATTCAGGAAGACACTTGCAGCCCCCTTTTAAAAATGCTGTGAACATTCTTGTCTCTCATTCTCACTGTGGCCTGAAACCTCTCTCTTCTCTCTAGTAGGCAGTTCAAGGTACCAGTTTTACCAGCCCCATCCAGGTACCAGCCAGCATCCATGCCACTGCTGTCCAGCTCATGGATTCTGGCTGTGACCCATGAGCCTGGCTGTTAAGATGTCAGCCTAACACCATTTCTATTTTCTTATGTGATAAACACGACTGTGTGAGAATGTTGCAAAAGGAACTGGAAACCAGCGGGGATGAGGGTTGCTGATCCAGGAATAAAGGAGCAGCCAGACCCTGCATTAACTCTTACCTCCCTGTGGTTTGCAAATATAGGGCAAACTGGAAGAGCTGTAATCTACAAGGGGTGGGGCCTGGTTCAGTTAAAACTTGCTCCAAGTACAAAGGCTATAATCCATGCACAATCTAGGTGAGGGTGGTCAGAGAGTGGGGTAAAGCCAAGGCTCACTGCAGAGATCTATAAGACCTTCCCTTTCCAGAACATTCTTCAGACTTACTAAACACTGCTTGGGACAATGAAAACAACTGGTTTGGAAGACTGGAGGTAGAGAGGGCAGCTGTTCAATTGAGCTCCTCTGAGTACACAGCCTGGTGCACCAGATCAAGGACCAACCTGATGCATGTGTTTTTCCAAATGCTAAAAGCCGGTTAGAGGCCCCAATTTCTCACTTACTTTCCTCCATGTAGGAGGTGGGGCTTGATAAGCAGTTGGTTTTTGGCAGGTCTCCTGGCCAGCCCAATGCCAACTGTCACCAGCCCAAGCTGATCCATTCATTAGCTCCACCAGCAGAAGGTCAGCTGCTGGACAAGTCAGTGTGGTATTAAAAAACGTTACAAGCAGGATGGGGAGCGGGAGGTGTGGGGGGGGAAGGAGTGGGGAGGCTACTTGGATGACAAAAACAATAAAGAGTCACTTCTACTGCAGGAACAGGGGGGCAATTACAGAACATTGGCAGTACTATGACAGGACAAGAGCCCATGCTAGAAGAGAGAGACAACAAGGAGGTGAGGCCATGGGTTCTGGGCAGGTGTTGCATTGATGACTTTTTGTTGTTATTATTATGGGTTTTGCATTTAGTTTTAGTTTTAATTGTTGACTTCCTTGCTTATTTGTTTTGACTTTTTTCTTGTAGACTTCCTTGCTTATTTGTTTTGGCTTACCATCACAGGGTCTCACAGAGCCTAAAATGACCTTGAATTTCTGACCCCCCCTTAGCCTCTCAACTACTAGGGTTATAGGCAAGCACCATCAAAAGCCTATTTTATGCAGTGCTGCAGACAGAACTCAAGGCTTTGTACATGCCAAGCGGGCACTCTCTCAAAAGAGCTACAACCTCAGCCTTCCAGTATTTTGTTAAGGGAAGAAGAGAGAGGACAGGGGAGTGCTGGGAAGAAGGAGGAGTAAAGGAACTTCCCATTTGCCAGGCTTCTTCAGATAGCCCCAGCCACATCCCACTCTCCATCCTCTTCCGCACTCATCTGGGAGGCTGGCTCCCAGGAACCTACAAAGGCTCTTGGTGAGACAGTCTGAACAGGCTGCCCATCCAGTAGGAACAAGCATCACCCAGTCCCAAAAGTTCCAAGAAAACTCCACCCCAGATTCCCTACATGCCCACAGCAGAAACAACAGAGATACATACCTTGCCCCTTGTGGTTGACTTCTTTGGCTGCAATGACTTTGTTTATGACAGTTTGAAGGAAGTCATTCTCCCCTGCCACCCTGGGTGAGAAACGGGATGACATGTTCAGCGGCTTGTGTCGAATGGCGTCGTCCAACGCGAGCCTGGAGGGCATGGGGCAACCAAGACCACAGGAGACAAAGGGGCACAGAGACCCATGGGTCACAGTAACAGGGGGACACAAAAGAGCATCACCACCGAGTATGAGAGAGTTGTCATGAGTCAACGAAAGACAAAGGGCAGGATAGGTGACAAGAGAGACAGGGAAAGCATCGATCAGGAAAATGATGAACCACAGGAGAGAAGTCCAGCCAAGGAGGGCGCCCCACTCCCAGGGAACATGTGCACAGGGCTCCACTCCAGTGCTAATGGACACTCCAAAGGGGCTCGCCTGAGAGTAAAGTGGCTGAGAGGCCTTGAATTCCAAAGAACACTGATGGCCATTTGTGCCACCTGGATAGCACTGAACTAGTCTAGGGCAAGGGTCAGGTGGTCTGAAGAAAAAAATGAAAACAAAATCCCATTTCTTCTCCCCAAATAGCCTTCAAACCTAATATCTTCATTAGCCCTGCCTTGGGTTCCACAATGTGTGTTCACAGAGTCTCCAATAGCTACACGTGAAGGTGACCCAGTGCCTGGAGAACAGAATTAATGGTCACCATGTCTGGATGCTGAACCCTAGACATCACTCAAAATAGGAGCTACCAGTGTTCTTAGGTCCATAAGCCCACGTATGTGAGAGTGACCAGCACAGGCAACATGCACCATGAGAAATGCCGTGCAATGCCACCAAGCACAATGGGAAAAGAGTGCAAAAACATACATCAGGTACAGAACGCCTAAAATCAATTCTAGGAACAAAGACTATGCCATCCATCACTTGAGCCAAGCAACTCAAAGGAGCTGAACGCTGTTGTAATTTATTTCACCAAGTTAAAAAGAGATGAACGAGAGAGAGAGAAAGAGAATATACACTATTTCCCTCCCTAAAACCAACCCTGTGAGGTGATAAATCCATTTTAATGGAGCAAAAAACGTTCTCATTAGCATGTCATTTCCCAAAGAATAGTTTCCAGGCTGATTTTGCTATTAGAATCGTGCTACTTTTTGCTTCTATCACTGCAGAAATTAATCTGTGTAGCCATCATCCCCTAGAGAAGGAAGACTAACAACTGACACGACAGGTGAGTGTGCCCCAATACTGTTTAAAGTGGACTTCTACTGCCAGATAGAAAAGAGTGGTGCCAATATGCAGGTGACCTCAAAGACCAGGTGAAAACCTGGTAAGGCATTTCTCTGACTTTTCCAACAATACCCAAAGCTAGTGTTTTGTTTGGGGTTTGGTTTTTGAGGTTTTTGTTGTTTTGTTGTGCTTACCTTCTGACAGAACAAATAAGCGACAAAGAAAATCACTTAGTAGGACTGTTAGGTATTACTAAACCCTGTGGTTTTGATGAAATTGAAGCCTTAGGAACAGTAGGGAACCTTGTCAATTTTCACAGGAAAAAAAAATAACTTGAGTGTTACAGTCTCACAAAGGTGTGTTTTGTTTATAACCACTATATCAGTCATATTCCAGAATGGGGATATCCCCTGTGCACTAAAGAAGCTTCTTGGTTCTATAGAACACTGCTATCTACTCTTGCCACAAGAGGGATTATCCATTATAACTGTCTACAGAGCTGGAAATGAGTACTTACACACCATCTGCGATGGTTAGTATTTATTGTCAACCTGACAGACTGTAGAATCACTTGAGAGACAGGACTATGGGAATGCAAGAGTGGGGGAGGTCACCTTGACAGCTTTAACTGAGGTGAGAGACCCACCCATTATGGGTGGCACCATCCCCTGGCTGGGATCCTGGACTATATAAAATGGAGAAGGTGACCTGAGCATAAGCATTCATTCCAATGATGGACGACAACCTTGAATCGTGAGTTATAAAACCCTTTCCCATTAAGTTGCTCGTGTTAGGGTATTTTTATCACAGCCACAGGAAAATAAACCAAGACACTATCCAATATGGCAACAACAGCCCTACATGGCAATAAACACTTGAAAGAGACCAATGTGATTGAAGGGCTACGTTTTAATTCTACTCAGCTGTAATTAATATAAAGAGCCACATGGGGCTAGTGGTTAGCAGACCAGACAGAAAGTAAATGGAAAGCGTTGAAGCCACCAGGGACCTCTGCCTCTAATTGTGTGTGGTGAAACACGTGGTACTTGAGCCCAACTTTAGGCTATTTTAATGCAACTCTCCTTACAACAAGATGCAAAATCTTCTACAGAGCTGCACAAGAAAAAGTATTTTTTTTTAAATGCACAGAAAAGCCACACTGAAGCCATCTTAAACAAGTGATTCTCAAGTCTGCAGGGAGTTGGGGGTGGTCCATTATGAAGAGTGCTTGGGGCAAGAGAAGCCCATAACATGTCTCCTGTCCTCCCCATGACAAGGCTCCTTCAGACACCCATTATCGAGAGCCTCCCAGAGCTCAGCCTCCCTCAGCTGAGCTCCAAAGCAATGTAAACCTGCAAGAGTGAAATTCACCTTAAGCCTAAAAGTTTCTGAATAAAAGCAAACTGGAAAAGGAAAGAGTAAACAGGAAACTGCAGAGTGCTGGGGCAGGTCACACTAACCCCAAGCACTTATTTTCCTGGGAAGTCTGGCCCGAGAGGAGGCTGTCTCTGCAATCAACCTGAAGCATCAAGTTCTCCTGCCTCCTCCTTGAGAAGGAGCAGCCCCGATCAAGGCCCACCATCACTTCAATCACCTTGCCCACAGGTTTTAGTTTTAAATCAAGAATAATCTCATAAATTGGCCTCAAGTGCTTTCCCCAGGTTCCCTGGCCCTCTCTAAAGACCTCAGGTCAGAAGTGGACAAAGCCTAAAAAAGGAAAAGCCCAAACCCACTCATCTGAGCAAAAACCCAAGACAGACACATCAGCAGCCCGATTACAGGTTTCAAGGTGTTATTTCTCACTTTGCAAAAGAATTCATCATTACTTTGTTTGGTTTCTATTTTAAAAAGCAGCAACCTCTTGTGATGAATTTGAAAGTATTGTGTTTTGAAAATGTGAATTGCTACAAGAATAAATCGATTATGTAAAGAAACATGCTCAGTGAAGAATTGTAATTCTTCTACTGATAAGGTAATTCTGGGACTACAAGAAACATCGGCTCTCGGGACCATACACAAACCTTATTCCATCGCCCTCACAGTTCCCGATTCCATGTGCCACAGCAGTGACTAAACAGATTTCTTATTATTGTAAAATAAATGAATCCTGACTCGGGCTTAACGAACAACCTTAGCAGTGAATTATTAATTATGGGGGTTTCATGTGGTATCTGGTTAAGGATGGAATGATTTCATACTTACGGCTGGAAAGGAATGAAGTGTTGTTTATCTTCATCATCTACTTTTCCATTTATTATGTCTGTTACATCCATCACTGGGGAAAGGAAGGAACAGAAAGGGTTGTTTTGGCTTAAGTGCCACCACTATAGAAAGTCAAAAAACAAAGGAAGAACAGACGGTGTTCTAGCATGAACCATATGGTATACTGTTCTCATATGTAAGCCTCTATTCTGCAATGCTTGACAGACAGATTAAGTCATCTGAACATGCTGGCCCCAGTGGGTAAGGAACTCAAATAGCACAATTCCATTGAATAGTTCCCTTTGCCAGTTCCCCAAGGGTCACCCTGGAGACCTGTTGTCCAACACAAACTCCTATATGAAGGAGATATTCTGCATCTGCAGGCACTCAAGGAGAGGCAAGTGTGATGAGGAACTGCTTTTATATTCATTTCACTCACTTAACTTTATTTTAAACTGCACTTGGGGCAAGCCGCTAGTCTAATCATGACAACATAACACCCAGTGATCTTTAATACTGACTCAGGCAACTTGACAGATCTAGAGTCACCTATGGAACAAGGCTCCAGGCACAGCTAGCTGTAAGAGATGAACTAACTTGAATCAGCTTCTGGGCATGCCTATGAGGGATTGTCTAGATTAGATAAATTTGGGTGGGAAAACTGGCCATTCCACAGACTGGGGTCCTAGATTGGTTAAAAGGGAGAAAGTGACCTGAGCATCAGCATTCATCTCTCACTGCTACCTGACGGCTGCCTCACAGTCCTGCCGCCTTGCCTTCTCAATGTCATTTCCATGCCATCCATACCATGATGGAATGGACTATATTCCCAAGCTTCAAACAAAACTAAACTTATTTACATTGTTGTTGCTTCCTTATCAGGCATTTTTTTTCATAGCAATGAGAAAAATAACTCAGACACAGTTCAGTGATAACATAATTTCAAAGTGATACCAGTCACCAAGAGCTGGTGTCTGAGTCAGTGGGACACTCAAGGTTGACCCTCAGTTACCTGCTGGACAGTTGAAACAGAAGCGCATGGACAAAAATGAACAGACAACCCAAAGCCACAGGACCAACTCCATTTCACCACCTTGACTCCATTTCATTAACTTGCCTTCACTGGGGGTGGTCCAGGCTCACCAGCATCCCTGGAAAGGCTTGGTATGATCTCCACATTAAAAGAGAGGCTAGCCCTGGCAGCATTCAGGGCTTTACTCAGAGCAACTTTCCACCTTCTTAGCCACTCTGTGACTTTGGCCATGTCAAGCACAGCTAGAAAACCCTAGAGGGAACAGGACAGGCACTCTGCTGGGTCCTTTTCCCCCACACCTGGCTAAAAGAGCGCCATGGTTCTTTCCTAGTGACTAACTTCCGGTACTGAAACTGCAGGTAAGGTTCATTTCACACAACCATGGTCAGTTCTGTGTTATAAACGTGAAGAGTTTCCCACAGGCTCACATACTTGATACTTGGTCCCCAGCTGGTGGCACTATATGGTTGTGAATCTCTTAAGAGATGGAGTTTTGCTGAAGTAAGTGGCCACTGGGTGTGGGCCTTGAGGTTTTATAGCATGGACCCACTTCCTGTACACCTTTTTGCTTTCTGACTATGGAAACAATGTGACCAGTTGCCTCCAATACTTTTGCCTTGATATCTCAACACAGTAGCATACTGTATCCTTAAACTGCCAGTCAAAATAAACCCTTCCTTACTTATACCATCCTATAGGATTTTGTCATAACAGCAAAAAAAAGTAACTATGACGCCCAGAAAGCATAAATGTCTGTAAGGTGAGAAAAGCAACACTCCCATCTCCTGTGTATTATGACAGAGCCTAGGAAGCCATGGGAAGAACAATCACACACTATCAGTCCAGTGAACCAATGGGGCCATTGGTTTAAGAGCCTACACATGTGTCCAGAGATGCAGGTAAGTGCATCCCATATAACTAGAGCATCAGCTAACAGCTGCCAAAAAAACAATTAACAAAGATCAGGTCTTCACTTGGCAGGGGACAAACAGCAGTCATCCCACACTCACCTACCATCACAAGCACATATTAGCAAGTCTAACTTCTCACCATCATCAGCTCATTATGAAGAAACATCTAGTTTCTTGATTTTTCACTCAAGCAGCCACATCCAGGACAGTCAGGCTAAACTCATCATACCAACCACTCATACCACTTGGGTGGCTTTCCTAGTTCCCTCGAGACTCCTTCCTCCCTCTGTCATGGGTCACATTACACCAGTTAACTGTTGCTCTTCCCAGATTATCTTGCTTGATGCCTTTGCCAAGTCTCCAGAGTCCTGCCCCAGAACACACTTGGGCCAAGCAAGAACACAGCAAAGAAGCAAGGCAGGAGCTGAGGCCAAATACACATGTGGGAAAGAGCATTTGTCAAGTTTGGTATTCACTAATGACCACATCTCCAGGCCCACCTATCCTAAGCCTCATGAGAAAGCCTCAAAGGCACAAGAATTTCCTCACGGCTCATCCATGCCAAGGTCTGTGTCCAGGAAGACCTCACTGTGGTCTGGATGGGGAAAGATACTTTCCCAGTGTCATTTCTGTTGCTATGATAAAATACCCTGACAAAAAGCAACAAACAGGAGAGAGGGTTCACTTGGCTCACTATTCCAGGTTACAGTGCATGATAGCAGACAAGTCACAGTGGCAGGAACTATAAACAGCTAATCACATCATATCCACAGTCAAAAGCAGCAACAACAGCAACAAAAAGGCATGCAGGCCTGATTACTCACTTGCATACATTCTTGCTTGCTTCTGTCATATACTTAAGGCACCCCTGCCCAAGGATTGATATTATCCACAGTGGGCCAGATGTTCCCTCATCAATTAAAAACCAAAACTATCCCTGTTAGACACACCCATAGACTAAATTGTTCTAGATAATTCTTCCCAAGTAATTTTAGGTTATGTCAAGTTGACAACTGAAGCTATCCACCACAGATACCCATTGACAAAAGAGGACATGAAACTGCCATTCCTGGGTCTCTACATCCTGCCAGCATGGGGTCTTCATGAGGAGGAGGGCTATGTTGTGTTAGGGACAGGGAAAGATATCACTACCCAAAGTGTCCAGTTTGGCTGCAGTCAACATGATCACATGCAAGGGTAAGGGTATGGCAGACCTAGTAACAGTGACATAGCAAAGGGCAAGGATGCAAAGAGGGGAACAGCAATAGAGGATCAGGAATATAGCACAAGGAGAGCAGAAGGCAAGAGGGAGAAGCAGGCTTCAAGGGAGAGCCATCATGATGGACCTGCAGCTATAGCCATTGATGACATAACACACCAGTGCAACTTGTCCACACCAATGGGACACAAGACAAGAGACACCGAGGACCATGTACCTTCCTACTCAGCAACCTCAACAGAGGTACTTCCCCTGTATGCAATCAGATTGGGTGCCTGGATTCAAAAGTGCTCACTAAACACTTCTGCCACAAAGTTGAACACCTGGAGCCCCAATGTTGATGTGAGTACACAACTATAGATTGCAACTCCTGAATCTCTCACTCTTGAACAATATTTTACAAATAGAAGCAAAAAATATTATGTTACATGTTTTACCATGTAAAAAGTACACGCTAACACACTAAAATAGTGAAGCTGGTAAAAAGAAACCAAGACATGAAAACAGTCCATGAACAAACAAACTGGACCGATACAATCAAATACTCAGTGTTTTGCTGCCATTGTCTTATGTATCTCTATCAAATTGGGCATTGAAACCAGGGCTGCACACAGGATAATGGCACTATCCAGAGAGATTTCCCTGGAAAGGAAAAGCAGGGAGAAGTTAGAAAAAAAGAGCACACCAAGAATAAAATTGTTGTGCTATCCTGGCTGTGTCAAATTATGAATGATTTATTTAATTATCTTTCTTTTCCATAAAATTTCCATGATTTCTCCCACCACTGTCAATCACTTTTGAATTATGAAATGCTTTAACAGAAAGGATCATGCATATTATTTTCAATAAAAGACAAAAACCTGTGGGCTTAGAGGTGCATGAATGCCTTTCTCATTCACAAGTACTAGCTCTGTTGACACAGAGGAGCAGACATTGCTCTGGAAAAAGCCTCAAAATTAAATTTGTTCACATGGACATAGAGCTGCCTAGGAATGGGCAGGATCCCATTACCAAAAGTCGGTCTCCCTTTTGAGGTATGAGGAGAGAGATCCCTAATAAGAATGGAAACCTGTGATTGGAGGTAAGGGTACTCTCTGGGAATCAGAAGACTGGGCCAGGAAAAGAGAATATGCCCCTGAGTATGCTGGATCCAACACATAAGCAGGGGGACAGGGCAGTTTGGGGCATAGCAATATGCCAATAAAAAAAAAAAAATTAAGTCTACATAGCAAAAGCACAGGATAAAATGCTCACCTCCTGTCTCAGGGAAGAGAGCAGAAGAAAACATAAATAGAAGCTCCATATATCAATTCAGAGAGCTGGTTCTTGGGTGACTGCAGAGGCCCAGGGTGCTAGGTGCTGGGAACCAATACAAAGGAGCCTGCACTGAGCCTGAGTAGGCAGGAAATTATGGGGCTTCTGTAAAAGCAGCAGGAGTTCCTCTCAGAAGCCATGAGAATGGACATTTGCACATCCAGATGACAGATGATAAAACTGCCTCCAAGGGCCTCTGCAGCACTCCATGCAAGTTTGCACATCCAGATGACAGATGATAAAACTGCCTCCAAGGGCCTCTGCAGTACTCCATGTGAGAACATCACAGCCCTACGCATGCAAGGTCCCACCAGCCAATGAGACAGTAGAGGATGAATTCACACAAGAATTCAGGCAACAGGCCAGAGTGCCTAGAATTTGTCTCAGGCTGGTTTCCAGCAGCCCAGAGCCTGCAGAAAACCAGGGAGAGGAGACTCAAGAAGAAAAGAGTGACATTTGTCTTCCAGTGTGTCACTTATTTTTTTTGTTTTTGTTTTTTGAGAGAGAGAGAGAGAGACCAATAATGGCAATATGTTATGCATCAATAGCAGCAACAGCTTTTCCAGGTTCTGCAGTCATTTGAACAAAATAATTTTATGTGTAACCTAGAAATGATGAACTTATGGGAACAGAGAGCAGAATTGTGGCTATTAGGCTTCAATGTGGGTCTTTAACAATGGGGAAACGATTAGTTTAAGGATATAAAACTGCAGTTGGACAAGAGGCATGGACTCTGTGATGTCTTGAGGTCTACTGAGAGCATGATAAATATGGTTGATAATAATGTGCTATATTTTAAAAGTTGTGAGATAGTTTACTTCCATTTTTCTCAAAACAAAAATGATGAATATGTGTGATATAACATGTTATTGGTTTAATTTAGCTATGCCATTGTGAACATACTGTATTATGTATCATAATTGTGCATGACTTTATTTATGAGCTAAATAAATGAATGAAAAAAAAAAGAGTGAAGATCAGTCTAGGTGGGTAAACAGAGATGCAAGTAAGCAGTGCAGTGACGAGCAAGCATCAGGAGATGTGATGGTGATGGCCTCAAAACCAGAGATCCAAGTACCTGGGACAAGACAGATGTCCACTAACATAGCACAAGTTGCTACTCCAAGGACAGAGGACTATCAAATCTGGTAGCCCTAATCCAGCATATACTCTAGGCTCTGGCTCCAGAGAAGTTCAGGATCTGAGAGGCTGTGACCCAACACCAGACTCCACCAAGCAAATGGAACGCATGCTATAGGTATGGAGAAGCCATGGCAACACCAGCAAGTATCTGCCCAAGCTTCATCCCTTCAGGATTTCCCAGAACATCACAATGGAACCATAAAAAGCTAGGAAAATCCCCATTTTTAATCTAAAGAGAGTGACTGTCCACCTCAGGCTAAATCTTTGCTTTCAGAAATCTAACAATGGCCTCACAGGAACTTATCAGCAGGTTCTCCCCAGTGATCTAATACTCAGAGAACCTGCAATATCCATGCCCAAAGATGTAACTTACATTATCATATCACAGATCTCTCCAATGGCTTTGGGAAGACTAAATCACCCGAGACAAAAAATACAGTATTTCCCTGAAACTGCAATGCAGGTGGGATGAAGAGAAAGTTGTTATCACAAGTGCCTTAGCTGAACATGAAAATGACGCTACAAGCTTGGGAAAATAGGAGTAAGTTCCAGTGTGTGTTCAAGGACTCGGGGGTAGAAATGCCAAGTTTCCCCAGGGTACTTGAAAGAGCAAGCCCACTCTCAACATCTCACCATGGATAATAAAGACACTGGGATGGCCCATTGGAGAGCCCAACAATTCAACAGAATTCTCCGGGTTTATAACTGCAATGGTGGACACGTGCCATTATTCATTTATGAAAATTCATAGAATAGGGCTGGGAAGATGACTCTCAATAGGCAAACTGCTTGCCACACAAACATGAGGACCAGAGTGTGATCCCAACACCCATGTAAAAGTCAGACATGATGGTGTGTGGCTGTAATACAGCCCTGGTGGTGGGGTGTCATGGGAGATTGAAGAAGATAAGAAAACCCCTAGGTCCTAGAGCTCAATTGACAGATCAATAAGTTCCAGGTTCAGGGAGAGACTCTGTCTCAAAAACTAGATGTTAAGCAAATAATTGAGGAAGACATCTACCTCTGACCTCTAATGTCCACATTCACACACATTCACATGTACACACTCAGGCATGTAAAACACACACACACACACACACACACACACACACACACACACACACACACAAAACCTGACAGAATATACAATGTCAACACCAAATGTCCCTGTAAACTGTAGAGTCCAGGAAAGGCCACAGTATAAGTCCACTGCCTGTCATAAACATAAGACTCACTGGTGATACAGCTACACAGAATGCTGGGAACAGGATGAAGTATATGGGGAGCAGTTTGTTTTTTCAGCCCAATTTTTATTTTTCTGAAAATTAAAGTCTATTTAATGGAGTAAAACTCAAATGCTGACTTTCCTGATAGCCAAACAAGGACTGTCTTTGATCACTGTTCGTACAAGAAATAACAGCTAGTTATCAGGAATCAAGAATTATCCCCATATATTTATTCTATGTGTCCTACTTAGCACTGTCAGCTTGCAACAGCCTAGAATCACCTGAACAGGGTGTTCCAGTTGAGTGTTTCCTTCATCAGGTTGGTCTGAGGATATATCTATGTGGGATGTCTTGATTCATAATCAAAGTAGGAAGGCCCAGCCCACCATGGTTGTTACCATTCCCTGAGCTATATAAGAAAGCTAGCTGAGCATAAGGTTGAGCAAGCCAGAGGATGAGCCAGCAAGCGGGTCCTCCATAGTTCCTGCCATGAACTTACTGACTTGAACTGCCTTGACATCCCATATGATGGACTATGACCTGGAAGTGTAAGCCAAATAAACTCTCTCCTCTCCAAGTTGCTTTTGGGAATAGTGTTTTATCACAGCAACAGGATGACACTAGAACAACATGATTCCTAAAAATTACGGACATTAGTTGTCACAGTAGTGAGTGAAAGAATTCCCCTGCAATTCTAATAAAGAAAACTGCTTCTCTACATTATGAAGAAAGCCACTGATATCAAAAGAAGTCACCTAGTGGGGATGCTTATCTTTCCTTGACACAGATAACCAGGTTCTCAGTTTCTTATACAGTCACAAAACACCAAGCAGAGATGTGGACGGTAACAAGTCCATGTGCTAGCTGTGTTGTGTCCTCATAGAGCCAGGCTGTGCCTCTCTACTACTAAATCAAGCACTGAGTCCAGTAAGCCGCCTGGTGCTGACTTCTCCACGGTGTGGGTAAGTGATTCAGTGTCTCTCCCAGTAAAAACTGGGATTTGCTTTCAAACCAGACCAGATTTAATCTGAATCTGAAGCACTGTAGATACAGCAAATAGGATCCAAGCTATATAAAAAAGAACTAATACCCATAGTTTCCTCTCCAGCAGCAAAGTATATAAATCAAAGTGGCCCGCTGTCTGTCTTCCAACTGAATGGTCTGAAACTCTCAAAGAAAAACAGAGATGTGGATTTTACCAGCCACGCCAAAAGGTCGCCTCAGCCCAGAAGTCAGCTTCCTGGTGTTGCTGTCCCTCAGCTCCATGCGACCAACTCGGACAATCTGGCAGACGAAACTGATTTTCTCCCTTTTCAGGTCTTTGCTCCCAAGATCCTAAAAATATTAATTTCCATAAATTATTATGGAGAACCATGATTCAACACAAGTCCAATTGAAAAGGATGTAAATTTGGACCAGTGTCTGTTCTCTGACCAGCTAAGATATTTTAATGCTGTTCACATGACAAGAAGGAATAAAGGAATAGCAGACACTTGGCTAAGTGATTAAAGACATGAGCTAAAGAGACAGGCTCTGGGGAGATGAAGTTATCTGTCTCATAGTAATGCTAAGCAAAGATAAAACTCAGAAACTCCCAAAAAGGGCTCAGTGATTCTTGGATTAGTCAGTGTGATAGTCACTCCTAGGACCTCAGTACATTCAGTGCTGAGAAGTCTCCCTACAACAGCCATAAGAGCAGGTCACAATGACACTCAACCCATGGACATGGATGGACTCACCGTAAACACAGCGCGCAAGTTATGTAATCGATCGATATCTTTTGGTAATCCTGAACTTGGCCAACGGACCAGGTAGTTTTCACTGGGAGGGAAAAAAAGGAAACAAATTACTCTTCCAAACACAGATGGGTACCCAATGTATCCCATAAGGCCTCATAATTAACAACATGGAGGTCCCTATGCAACTGACCCTGAGTTTATAAACACTGAGGCCACAGAGACTCTGCCAAGCAGACACTGTATGAACAGCCCTTTCACTTTCTACGACATGGGTTATCTGTGTAACAGAAATATTTGAGAATGACATTTCAGTGTGTAAAATGTGAAAAGTTTCTCTGTCCATTTAGAATGACAACAATACAGAGCTGTGTATTGAATTTGGAACAACGTATGTATATTTAATTCAGAGCCTTCGAGAAGCCAAGTAAGCCATAAAATACAAATAGCATCTCTATCAAAAAAGAAAAAAAGCACTTATCAGAAGTGAGAATAAAAATCACCTGTGTGTTCTGTTTCCTATGAAAAACTACATGTTCAAGTGAAAATACAGGAGTATTGACACACAGATATGACACATTTCACATAGCTTAATCATAGTTTTTTTCATCAGAATAAAGAGAAAATTTTATTGAGGACCAATGTATTTACAAGATTTTTGTTCAGCAGATATTTATTATGAGTCTTCGTGTGAGAAGAAAAGGAAACGAGCCACATACACACTAGCCCATCAGCTTAGAGAAACAACGGAGAGGTGAAAGTTACAGAAGACATTCCTAGACCAAATGTTTGCAAAAAGCAAAGGTGATGCTTGTAGGGTGAATTCGTTTGCTTTCCATGGCTGAGATAAACAGTATGACTTGAAATACCATGGGGAGCAAAGTGCATATTTCATCTTACAGTTCACAGTCCTTCCCGAAGAGAAGTCTGGGCAGGAACTCAAAGAAGGAATGTGGCTTGTTCTCCACAGCTCACTCAGCTTGTTTTTTATGTAACCCAGGACCACTTCCCATGGGTGGCACTATCCACAGTAGACTGTGCCCTCCTAAAATCAGGCATTAATCAAGAAAACACACCACAGACTTGCCTACGGAACTTGATAGAGGGATTTTCTCAATTACAGATCCCTCTTCCCAGATGCCTGTAGATTTGGTCAACTTGACAAAAATCCTAAGCAGTGCATTTGCATCATCAGCTGAGAGCAACTTGCACTGCCAGGGCATCACCATGCTGGACCGCATGCTCTGACCTGACTATGGGTCAGAATAAACCCTCCCTGATGAAAGTGCTTCAGCAATGAGAAAAGAAACTGATGAAACCTGCAAGTGGGGGGGGGGGAGTCGCCTACCTGATGAATTTGGACTCCATGGGGTCATAAAGAGACATGAGGACTTCAGCATCTTCTCCTATTTTACAAACCACATTTTTGAGGTTAATAAACAAGGCCAGAGACGGGGTTGCTGCGAACTTTGCCTGTCTGTTGATGTCCATATTCTGCTTTTGAGACTACAAACAGACAGAAAGTCATCATGAGCAACCTGGAGAATAGCCCTTGTTCTTTTTAATCCCCTATAGAACAGGAAAAAGGCACCGCCAACTGCCTCCACTCGGCCATGCTACTTATACAGTCACTGTGTTCCCACTATGTGTTCTCAAACCACGCAGTGCCCATTCTGTAGCAGCTCATGCTGAGTATTTGCAAGGATGTGGGCCTTCTAAGACTCCTATAAACAAACTGGTTGCTGGATTAGTGGCTGGCTTTAGTTTAGGTTCTCGAATGATGCCTCACTCAAATCTGTGTCTCACTCTTCACTATGTCACCAGTCCCTGGAATCTGACAGATGCTGGACCAATACCTGCTGAATTAATAGGCTGTGCCATACCACTTGGCTCCATCCCATTCCTCCTTTTCTGAAACACACTGGGCACTTGCTTTGGCAATGGGGAGTGGGCTCTTTTACTACCCATTCTGGGCTTCCTTGACATTCTCTACTACTCGCTGCAGTTGCTAAGAAACACAAACCCATGCAAAGTGCACACTGAAGAGGTGAACTCACTTTCTCTTCCTGCAGTCGTTCCTCCACTTGTTTAGAAGCTACCTCGTGTGCTCGGAAGAGACTAATGGTGCTGGTCAGTTCTGGATCCAAAATGTTTCCATCTTCATCCCGCACCACCAGGTCCAAATCAAGAATTCTAGAATACCAAGAATCCAGAGTGAGGAGGATATGAACCAAGGGAGTAAATTCCCTAGCATAATGACAGTTCCAGCCATTGAGCAGATGAAAATGCCTCAGAAACTGGAACTCATCCACAAATATAAGAGAACACCAGTCTGTGGCACTGCTTTGTGTAACCCAAAATGTGTCACAATAGGGAGAATGAAAATTGCTCAGTGTTGACTGCATTTCTTTCAATAAAGCCTTCACCTTCCAATCAGAACTTATGGATTTTCAGAGTTCAGGTAAAGTGTACATGACTAAAAACTGTGGAAGGTGTGGACAATCAGAACTCATCACTGCACCCTGCATATGCATACCATCCATGGGTACACGAAGGCAGAAAGCCTTGCAAGGGATCACTAGCTGCCTCTATAACAGTTTCACTAACAAAGCAAAACCTCTCAAATCTGACCAACTCATTCATCCCAGTCCTGACCCTGCTCTAAAAGTCAGTATCAATACCATGGGTCAGCATGGTGTGAGTGAGCTTGGTGGTGTATGGGTGGAGTCAGTTCCAATGTGGGTGAGGTAATGTTCTGTGCTGGGTCAGCACTGTGTGGGCATGGTTAGTGGTGTGTGGGTGGTGTGGGTGAGCTCCTGGAGACCCAGCCACAATGCCCTACAGGCCTCACCTGATGAGGCCCCCTCAAGAACGATATAGATCAAGCCCTTTGCCAACTCACCATGGATATCATGTGATGTCATTGTCACCTGAGTCCAGACAGAAAACCTGGTCAGACCCATTTCACAAAAAAAGGAAACTAGTTATGTGACTGAGACCAAATATCTCAAGAATAAAAAAGAAAAAAAAAAAAGATGGCACACATACATGTTCTTGACACACCAACACACCACCACCACCATACAAGGTAGCCGGTCACATCAACCAGTCTGCATTGGTCTCAGCAATCAATACACTGGTTCTGTTGAGGAGTGTTAGCCTAACCATAACAAGGTTAGAGACTATGGAATGGCAAAGGGTTTAACAAAGGGGCTGGATACATCCCCCTGAAGACAGTGTGAGCATGTCCCTGTATCTCTCTCTCTCTCTCTCTGTGGATGTATATGCAGGTTTCTTCGGATAAATATGGCTCTAGACCTGTCTGGGTATATCTGGGAGTAGGTGTGCGCATGTTTGTGTGTGTGTGAGCGCATGCCCCTGTTTGTGTTTTACAGGACCATCTTCTTAGAGAAACAGACTATGACATTGACCACATTAACCACAGCTTCCAGAACACTCCCCTCTCCCTGCTGCCACTCAGGTAAAAGGGGAAAGAATGCATAAGTGATGATGATAAGACCAAGGAACTGCTTCTGAGAGACCAGACCATCTGAAAATCAAACAGCCTCCACTTTTATTTTATTTGTATTCTTATTATTATTACTTCACGTTCTACAGGAGGGAGTAGGAAGATAAGTGGAGAGCATCGGGCTTTAGAGGAATATCGGCCTGCAGTCCTCAGGCAAACTTGTCTTAATAACGTTGCATTTCCTATCCAAGCAGTAAATTACATTTGGAAACACTTTCTGTCTTAACAAGATTGTTCCATGGTGTAACGTACTTAGGTTGTTTCCTGCAGCCAGATTAAACAGGTGGTCTCTGAACCTAACTTCAAAAACAGCTTTCTCCAACAGAAAATGAAATCAGAGCTCCAAAGGTTTGCTTTTGTAAGCAGGGGATCTTGTAATGGGTTTCATTGAAATGGTATCTAATATCCTATACCTGGAATCTCTGGCCTTGGAGGGGAAAATAAAGTCACACATAATGTGACATTAGAGAACTTTCACACATGAAAAGGAGGAGGGGAATAACCAGAAAGCAAAATTATTCAGTAGTTCAGTTATTAAAGAAAGGTTCTATGACTTACCTAAGGGTCCTCTGATGGGTAAGCGGCAAGCCCTGCTCTCATCTCCACATTCTCAACGGCAAAAATGGGGAAGGGTGTGGACTACACCTTAAGTTTTCCTCCACCCGAACAGCAGTTTGACTGCACTCTCTACCAAGCACCAAACAGCAAAACTCAGGATCCCAGGAGTGGGTCCCCAGATTCAGTATAATAAGTACCAAGGAACTCTGAGGTAAAGAGGCATCGGGAAATGCAGGACCTGGCCACTTTTAAGGCTTCTTGCAGCTCTGATATCATGTGAACACGCAAACAGGTACCAGGTGGGAGAGGCCATGACCTCCCATCCTGGCTACTGATATGGAAGAACTAGGACCAAAACAGTCATGTTCAGGGCAGCCAACAGCAAAGCATGCTCTCCTCAGGAGTGAGTGAGCCATCCCTCAAGACACTCACAGCTCCACCACTACACAACAAAGACAAAGACCTCGAAGCAAAGGTTTCAAGGGTGACTGGGTAAACCAGATCAGAATGTAAGCCACGCTATTATTTTGGTATTTAGAAATTTGGTTTTATGATAAAATGTAATTGAGACATCCTCTAGGCTTAGGGTTGTACTATTATATTGGACAATTTAAGCATGAAATCATCCTTTAAATAAACAAACCTGTTTCCATAATCAATTTTGGCTGTGACCTTCTTCTTCAGCTCTTTGAGCTCATCCTGGGGCAGGGTTCCAGAAAGGATCTGTGACCGCCACTCAATAAGATCATAGATCATGTGTCGCACACTTCGAAACATCTCTCGGTTATCTTGCTATAGAGGGGGAAAAAAGACAACTGTAAAGGTTCTGATTTTAAAAAAACAGCCTAGTGGAGATCCTACCAAATGGATAGTTCTTCAAATACAAAGACAGAATATGCACTGCTTCCTGAGACTCAGTGACTGTCAGATGAGAAGCAGATTCTCACATCAAACAGAACAGGTTTTATAGAATCTGGTTCCTACGAGACACTGAAAGAATAGGAGGTAGCACACCTCCCCAGAATGCATGCTACACTCCCAAGCACAGAACACACAGCAAGAATGGGACTTCAAGCCTCGGGATGGCCCGGAAGTCCCAGCATCCTCCTGGCTCCATCAATACTTGAAGATGTGTCTGTGAAGCCAAGGACCCTGTGAATGTAGTCTAACACAAAATTATAAACTCACTTAAAACATTAGGAGATTTTTTTTTTCTCCAACTTCATTGCTCCACTGTGAAGCCTGAAACTCTGTAGTTAACAAAGACTGACCTGTCACAATATCAATAGGTTAGGCATGCCTAGAAGCACTGAGTATCCTACTCTCAAGACAGTACTACACCATTGCTCACTGAGGGATGGTCTTCAAAATACCCCATGCCTGAGCCCCAAAACCATGCTGTCAGCTGACACATAGGCCATCCTGCACCAGCCTTCCCTGGGACACTGTGACCCCTACAACACATAGTGGCAGCAAGTATCTATCCATGAATAGTCTTGTTGCTTCTACATCAAAAGAAAACTGGCTGTTCTTACCTTTTGTGTATTGGATTTGTGGTACCCTCCCCCAAATAAATCAAATTTGCAATTGTTGATATAACTCATTAAGGAGACTAAGGTTGCCTGCAATGTTCTTCCTCTGAGCACCCAAATAGGACTTAATAATTATATATTACGCATCATGATCCCTTCAAAAATTAAAATGTGGAATCGCTGTTTTAACAAATGAGTGCCACTCTACAATATCTAAACCACTCCCTCACTATCTCCCATTTGAAAACTATTTGAAACTTGTAAAAGTTCCCAAAACAGCCTCACCACCTACCCAACACATAGCACTCTGACAAGTTATT